CTGCCTGATTGCCCCTAACTGCCCTCCCCTGCTGGCCCAGTCACCCCTAACTTCCCTCACTTGCCAGCCTGGTTGCCCCTAACTGCCCTCCCCTGCAGGCCTGATTGCCCCCAACTGCCCCCCTCCCTTTGCCTGGTCCCTCCCAACTGCCCTCCCCTGCTGGCCATCTTGTGTCCACATGAGGGCAGCCATCTTGTGTGTTGGAGTGATGGTCAATTTGCATATTACTCTTTTATTAGATAGGATATAGTTGACTAACCTACAGCTGTTAAGTCTGGAGTAAATCTAGAGAACACAGAGCCCCCTCTTCCCCTCCCTTTAACCCCTGAGTAATAGCAGAGAAAACTCGGGGGGCAAAGTTTGGTTGGAAATAAGCCAACCTTGTCCCTAGAAGTCTTGGGAGGTTCCACAGGGAGGGGAAGGCTAGATTATCAAAAACAGGACCTCAACTTTCAGGTTTTAACTCTGATTTCCAAGTGAACAGGATGCCATTAGAGTAAAAAATTGGGGAACACTAAAGTAGCCAATGCCGCATGTTCTTGTTGCTAATATTTTGGGATTCCATTGGCACTAAAGGGCTGCATTTCCAAGGGTAAAACACCACTCAGGTGTAACAACTTAAAGCATATTTAAAGTGGCCCAAGTAGTGAGACCTCTATATTGATACTGCCATTTAAAAGAATTTACTTCCCTTAGAGCTCTAGCAGAGGTAGTCATGATCTGAGATGAACACATGCATCTTTGATCAACTAAATCCAGAACGACACGCAAAGTTTTTCCCTCCTTTAGGAATGGTTCTTTAGTGAAACTTACATCAATCCAGGAAAAAAGGTTCATCAATATGTCTTGATATCTCAAATCCCCACTCAGGTGTGATTCTCACACCTCTAAACAGCAACTGTAAACATAGTCCTTTATGCCACTTTATGACCCTTGGACATATAAGCTATCTAATATTAATAATCTGCATATATGTCATTTTGTTATCAATATTCCCTTGCCCTCAAGGGTTATATTCTAGAGATAATCAATAAACATAGAGACCTAACAATAACTCCCAAGGGAAAAATTAAGGACGGTGATCCCGTGCACTGTGTATGGTGGAGGCTGTTGTTTCAGTTTGGTTGGTCAAGGCCACTCTACACTAAACATACTTCCTCACAGTAGCCTTTCGTGGCCCCACTAGTAGTGAACTGCTCTACATGAGACCCAGAAGCCATAAAAAGGACTTGGGAAAAGAGCAGTCCAAGTGAAAGGGAAAAAAAACTCTTAAGACCAAAAAGAACTTCATGTGTTACTGAGGTTTAAAACAAACAAGCAAACAAAAGAATGGCCAATATGGCTTAGTATTGTGAACAGAGAGGAGAATAAAGGGAATATGAGTAAAGATCAGGGGACCACATCACACAGGAAGGAATTCACTTTATCCCGTTTCAGTGAGAAACAGTGGAAGGTTTCCAGTCATGAATTAATGTAAGGGTGTGGAAGATCACTCCGGCTACTTTGTAAATGAGAGACTGTCCTGAGGCAAAAACAGTGTCAGACAGACCAACTGGTCAGCTGCTGCAACAGCCAGAGACAAGAGTGGCACGATGAGTGATGGGAAATGGAGAAGGTCAGAGGTCACTGGGTTGGGAGTGGTACCTACACAGTTTCACTGGTGCACTGCTTGTAAGAGGTAAGCAAAGTGGATGTTTGTGCTACACCCTAAGATGGTCACGTGTTTTTGTATCTTGTGTGCTAGGAGTAAGCAGACTTGTGAGCTGAAACAAACAGTAATGTTTTGGACTTATAAACTGTGAATGCCTCCCTGATATGTAAGTGGAGAGGTTGAATGGGCAATGAGATCCACAAAGCCAGAGCTCAGGGCCGTCTGGGCTAGAGATGGAAATGTGAGCATTGTCAGTGTATGAATAGGTAAAGCTGTGGAGCTGAATGGCATCACTCAAGCAAAGAATTAGAGAGCCCAGGCTAGTGCTCTGGGGCACCTGAGTATCAGTGGCTTAGGGAATAAGCGGGCCCAGGGAAGGCAATCAAGAGGGACTGAGCAGTCCGCAGAAGGAAACCTGGCGGACGTTGCAGCACTGAATAAAGCCTAGCGACGAAGTGCCTCCAGCAGGTTGTAGCTGGAAGGTCGTCAGACAGGGACAGAGATGGCGCAGGGAAGGTGCAACTCCCTGATGACGTTGAGTAAAGAGCTTTCAGTTCACGAACCAGTTGGAACATTTTAGCCCTACTATTGGGCATCTATTTGCTAAGTCCAACTTTTTTATCTTGTTAATCCTCACCCGCGAATACTTTTCCATTGATTTTTAGAGAGAATGGAAGGGAGTGGGGAGAGACAGAGAAAGAAAAACATCAATGTGAGAGACACACATTGATTGGTTGCCTCCTGCGATGCCCTGACCAGGCTGGGGATCGAGCCCGCAACCAAGGTATGTGCCCTTAACCAGAATCCAATCTGGGACTCTTCAGTCCGAGGGCTGACGCTCTATCTACTGAGCCAAACCGGCTAGGGTAAGTCCAGCTTTATCTTTCCATTTATTTATGAAATATTGAACCCCTAACAGTTCCTCCCGTACTTTCCCCAACACCTTTGCTCATATATGCTCAAAAAAAGTAAGCTGAATGAGCAAATACTGCTCTAAGATATCTTCAAAATATTGTGAGATTAACTCTCTTAATTTGGACATTACAAATTAGAGTTATTCTCCAATCACTAGATTCGCTTCTGACACATTATTGTTCGTGCAGAAGAAACAATCACTTACTATCAAACAGTAAAAATAATTTCTGATTGTAGCACATGATTTGACTTCTACATCAAAAACTTAGAGAAGCTTTAAAAAATAATAACTGGCCCTAGTTGGTTTGGCTTAATAGGTAGTGTCGGCCTGCGGACTGAAAGTTTCAGGGTTCAATTTCAGTCAAGGGGAATGCCCAGGTTGTGGGCTCAATCCCCAGGATGGGGCATGCAGGAGGCAGCTGATCAATGATTTTCTCTCATTACTGATGTTTCTATATCTCTCTCCCTCTCCCTTCCTGTCTAAAATCAATAAAAATATATTTTTAAAAAAATTATAACTATAGTGGGCTGATTCAATGACTTCTAATGCCACTCTGATTTCCTTTAATGTCTATAACTCTGTCTTCACCAAATAGCAGTTGAAAAATGGTGGCTATCAAGCTTTAATGTGACTAGGAATCACTCTGGCTGCTTATAGAGGCAGATTATAAGGCGCCCCAGGTGAGCCATGGCTTGAGACCAGGCTGTATATATTTTTTAGTTGCCTTTTTAAAAAGTTACCATGGAAATTCTGACATAGTCCATAAATCATACTTTGCAAAATAATGATGTGGGAGATCAGAACAGAATACTGAATGCAATAACAAACCCTTGGGAAAATAATTTCTGCCTATCCTCACCCCACCAAGTATTAGACATGCTATTTCTTTTAGCTCTCATAGATTCATTTTGATAATTGTCGAACACCAATTATATGCCTAGTTAAATTTAGTTAAACACTTCCAAAATCTCAGTGTTTAATTTTTTCATCCAATATGTGTACATGTATGCTTATGTATATGTTTATATAATGCTAGGCTGAAAATATTATATATCTGCACAGCAGCCTTACAAAACTAACACCATTGCCCTTGCATATGCATTTATGAACTTAGAAGATTCTTTTAAGTAGTTAAAGTCTCAGACAGGAACTCACCTGCATTTCTGTAACTTGAATGTTTAAGTGAATGTGGAGAAGCTGATGTCAAAAGACCTATTTCAACAACCGAACTTGCACTGTATGTGTTTTTGAATGAGTATAAATAAATCCTCATTTATCAATTTCTGCTGAATGCACACCTATGTAAGTCCAGAAATTGCATTGCCAACAGGCTTCCCATTCACCATCTCATATGAACAGTTTCCTGATTATATGGAAAGCCCTTTCACATTTTCTCTAAAACTTATTCTAAGGCTGAGTTGAGTTTCAGAGAAAACGGGAAAATAAGACAAGTGATCACTTTTAATATTTTAAGTGAAAGAACAGGTAAACCACAGTAGAGGAAGAAAAGGTGGAGAATGAAGAACAGTGATGATATGAAATTGTTTGAAATGAGAAATGAAATCAAGAATTAAAAATAGAATTACATTTTCTGTTTGGCAATACACAAGAAACATTAAGTGCACTTCATAAATTTTACTATTGTTGCTCTAAGTGATATTACCATAAATCACATTAGGAGCGTACTTGGCATTTTTTAAAAGCAAAAAGGATTGAGTGTGTCAATAAGTTTAAACAGCTCTGTTATCTCTGAAGAGAGGGGAAGAGAAATTATCACAAGCTTTTACCAGATCTAAAAGCCCAGTTTTTACCCCTCCCACCCCACCCCATTGTTGACATCACTCTCACTCCAGCTTCAGTGCAACACAAAGCACCATTTTGCCAGCAATCTCAGAAAAAAATGTTCACTGCTGCTTTCTTTTATTTTGTTAATCCTCACCCAAGGGTATTTTTTCCATTGATTTTTTTAAAAAAATATATATTTTATTGATTTTTTACAGAGAGGAAGGGAGAGGGATAGAGAGTTAGAAACATCGATGAGAGAGAAACATCGATCAGCTGCCTCCTGCACACTCCCTACTGGGGATGTGCCCGCAACCAAGGTACATGCCCTTGACCGGAATCGAACCTGGGACCCTTGAGTCCGCAGGCTGACGCTCTATCCACTGAGCCAAACCGGTTAGGGCTCCATTGATTTTTAGAGACTGGAAGGGAGGGAGGGAGAGAGAAGAGGAGGAGAGAGAGAGAAACACTCATGTGAGATACACATACATAGGTTCCTCCCGTACTCTCCCCAACCAGGGATGGAATCTGCAACCCAGGTACCTGCCCTTGACCAGGAATTGAACTCATGACCTTTTGGTGCATAGGCTGACGCTCTAACCACTGAGAATACCGGCCAGGGTTTCACTGTTGCTTTCTTGATGCTCTTACCTGATGTGCAAGGGGAGATGGCTGTTTGCCCCTTCTCTCGTCGCGCACAGGGAAGAGGGACTTCAGCAGCTTGGGCATCTGTGGCACGAAGGATTTGACTGGGGTCAGGTAGGAGGCCACTTGGCTACTACGTCCTGTCAAAATATTGAAAGGAAAAGAAAAACAATTACAAAGACATCTCTCTCTTTACTGCAAATTTGACAAGGATCATTTGTAAGCAGATATAACAATATAATTTAAAAAGGTATTCTTTAAAAATTAATATTAAAAAACCAGTATTATTATAGTTACCCCAAACACATTGGGGTTTCCTTTTCCAATTAAATAGCAGCAATTGGGGTACTTCTAAAATGTTTTAACCTCCAGTATTCCTGTTAGTATGCACAGGGTCACCCAACCCCAGTCCTGTCACTAACTGGTTTTTTACTTTTAAATCACATAGCTGATAACACACACATGTAGCACTCCATGTAAACTTTAAACTCTTTGAAGTCAGGAACTATGTCTTATTCAACTTTAATTCTTCATGCTATTTACTGCATGAAAATGATGAAATGACCTTTCAGGAGGAGAATAGTGTTCTAATTGTTCTTACAGAGGGGAACAGAAGCCCTGAACCAACCATATTCTTACGTGCTCTTAATTACCAAAGGCTGGGATCAAATGTGCAGATAATGCCTACGATATAAGATTTCTTTCCCCTTAGTGAATAAAACTAAATTTTTAGGAAAATCTAATCCAACTCATAAAAGACAAAACACTGTATCCTCATAACACTGTTTTTAAAGCAAGACAACTTGAGAAACTTGTAAGGGATACTGACTAAAGAGAAGTACACAACCACCGGTATCTACTCCACGCTGACCCTGAAATGACTCCAGTTCACTGGCAGTACAGTTGTACGTGGACTTATACAGTTTAAGGTTTCTACATTTTATACAAAGTAGTGTAATATTAACTCTAAGTAACCTATGAAAAGGTAAGGATGTTTTGTCAGCATGAGAGCAATCACTAAAAAATAAAGCAAAGAGATAGCTATAATGTCAAGAGATACATTAAAACTGAATTCAAAAAACTCAAACAATTTTTACAAGAAGGCAAAAATAGGGAAGAGAGAAACAAACCGAAAGAAAAGGGGTAAACAGAATGTAAGTTTAAGATGACTAAAGAGCCAGAAGATATAATTATCTAAATGCTGAGGGGAAGAAATTAGGGACAATCTAGAGTTCTATATGCAGTTAAACTAACATTCTAGAGTGAGGATGACCCCTAATTAAATAAATATCTAGCCAATTGTCAACCAAAGGCTGCATCTATCACAAAAAGAGAGACAGACACGTGGTGTCTCCTGAGGGGAAGTACACAAAACTACCCATTCAATTATCCTCCCTCCCTTCCTTCCCTCAAATTAGCCGGAATCTGATCAATGCTATACATCTAACTACCAATTTACAGAGAATCATGTCCCTCATGGGGATTTAACCAGCAAAAATAAGAATGTACAGTATACTGTACAAAAACCTAGTTTCTTCAACAAACACAATGCAATGGAGAAAAAAAGAATGAGAAGAGCACATGGATTAAACAGACTTACACATATCAACTAATCACAATGGATGAACCCCACTTGGATTTTCATTCAAAATACATAAAATATATTTTTTATCCAATTGGGGAAATGGAAATACTAACAAGAGATATTTGATAATACTTAATACTAATTATTATTATTACTAGTGGCCCGGTGCACATATTCGTGCACATTGAAAGGCAATTAATTAGAGAGCTTTATCTGTATTGTGCATGCGCGAGTCAACGTTTATTTTTCAATTGCCAGTGTGCGTCATATGTACCAGCTGGCCGGTCAGTCAGTCGGACAGACAAACAGTTAGTCACTTAGCTTTTTAGAGATATAGATTATTTCCTCACCAGAGGATAGAAAGAGAGAAACATCCATGCAAGAGAGAAACATCTATTGGCTGCCTACTGCAAGCCCCTTGACCAGGTATTGAACCTGCAACCTGTGTATGTGACCAGGAAATCAACCCACAACATTTTGGTGTGTGGGATGATACTCCAGCCAACTGAGCCACCCGGCCAGGACTATTTTTTTAGGAGTAAAATGTTACTGTGGTTATTGCTTTAGAGATACATGTACAAATAATTACAGATAAAATAATATCTGGGATTTGCTTCAAAATAGTCATTAGAGGGTAAGAAGTAGTGAGCGTACAGATAAATAAGACTAGTGAGGAACTGATTACTTTGAAGTCAGGAGGGGTACTTGAAAGGGCATATCATGGTACTCTTTCTACTTTGTATGTTTGGTATTTTCCATAGTAAAAGGATTCTTCAAAGTGAGAGCAAAATAAAAACTTTAATGTATAAAAGACATAGTTTTTCACTAAAAATGATTTTTAAAAGCACTAATGATGGATATAATTCACTAAAAAAGAAACTAAACTCAGAAAAATACAGTGTGGTACAAGACAATACAGTGTGGCAATAATGATCAAACTGAAGTGGTAAATATGTAAATCAAGTAGCACTGATTATATATACAGATAGATAGATGTACATTTTACAGAATTTTAAAGCAAGGTGGTACTCTATATCCCAGTATTTCACTCCTAGGTATTTACTCAAGACAAATGTTCACAAAAAAGACTTATACAAGAACAAGCTTTATTCGTAGTAGCCAAAAACTGGAAAGAAACCAAATGCCCATAAATAGAGCTGATTAAAAATGGTAATAAATTCAATTGTGATAATGAAATATTTCTCAGCAGTAAAAAAGAATAAATTAGTGATACATGCAGCAGTATGGATGACTTGAATAGAAATGGTGAGCAAAAAAAAAAACAAACACAAAAAAATATATATTGTATTACTTTTTTTTTTAAGAATAGTTTATTATTTTTAGAGAGACAGGAAGGGATAAGACAGAAACATCAATGAGAGAGAAACATTGATTGGCTGCCTCTTGCATGTCCCCCACTGGCAATCAAGTCCATAACCTGGACATGTGCCCTGACCAAAATAGAACCAGCAACCTTTGGGTGCACCAGACGATGCCCAACCGAGTCACACCAGCCAGGGCTTGTATGATTCCTTTTATATGAACCTGTAGAACAAGCAAAACTAATCTGAAATTAGAACATTGGCTGATCAGGGGGAGTCACATAAATCTGCTATACTTGTCTGGGGTATCAGTTAAATGGGCATATACATTTGTAAAAACTCATTAAATATGACCCATAGTAAAGATAAAAGCAGTCAACAGAATAGAACATGAAATGGTCCAGATGCTGGCTTGAGCATGTAAAAACTTTAAAGAAGCTTCTATACACAGGTCCAAGGATGTAAAGAAGAATGTGGTCTTAACAAATATACAGAGAGGGAACATCAGCAGAGAAAGTAAAACTATTACAAAAAAAGAAGCAAATGGTAAATTCTAGAACCGAATAGAATAATAATTTAAATAAAAAGTTCCCTAAATGTGCTTAGCAGAAGACTGGAAATGACAAAAGAAATTATCCAACCAGAAGAAACAAGAATAAGATAAAAAGATTAAAAATAGAAATTAGAAAAGAAATAGAGCTTCTGTAACCTGCATGCGCAATATTAAACAGAAGGGAGAGAGAAAAGTCCAGTAGAAAAAGTTTTATGAACTTTTAAGTTGAATATTGCCCAAATTTCTTGAAAAACTCAACCTACAGATCTAAGAACATCAGTGAAACCCAAGCACAATAAATACTAAGAAAACTATACCTAAGCACATCATTGTCCAACTGCTAAAAAGTAAGAGAGCGAAAAATTTGAAAGCAAATAAACAAAGACATTATGTAAGGGAAAAGTGACAGAAATGACGGCTGAATTCTCATCAGAAAAGGAGTCTAAAAGATAATGTAACATCTGTGAAGTGCTGAACTAAACTGTCAACTCAAAATTATCTAGAGAAAATATCCTTAAAAATAAGGTGAAATAAAGATATTCTCAAAAGGGGAGAGCATTCTTCCCCAGGAGATTGGCACAATAAGAAATAATACAGAATACTCCTTGGGCTAAATGATATCCGATGAGGATAAGATCTTCAGGAAGGCCTGAATAATGCCAGAAATAATGACTATGATGGAAAATAGAAAAGATTCTCTCTAGTGTCTTAATTTCCTTAAAAGTGGTTATTTTAAAGCAAAAGAAGTAACATTGTAAAATGGGTTCAATAACATCTGGAAAAGTAAAAGATACAACAACAACAATACAAAATACGGGAGGGAGGGAATAGTCAGATGGAACTACTGTTGCAAGGCTCTTATATGTGTGCAGTGGGAGATGATATTAATTCATAGGCTGTGACAGGTCAAGGATGTACACTAGGGTCCTTGAGCACAGACTTTACTAAGTAATCAAACAGGCATACCCGAAGGCCAAAACAGGAAATAAAATCAAACACTAAATTTTTCCTGTCTTTTGGCGGGGGGGGGGAGGGGGGGGATAACTGTTTTATTTATAGCTATGAGATCCTATACAACTCTCCATCCTTCACTGGGTTTCTTCTTTTTATTATTTTTATTTTTCAATTACAGTTTATATTCAAGATTATTTTGTATTAGTTTCAGGTTTACAGCATAGTAGTTAGACTATATGATTGTCTAAAATATATTTTTCAATTAAACTAAAAGAAGACAAAAAGGAGGTCAGAGTGAAAAAATAAAAATAAAAAGGTCAAATAGAAACTAGCCCTGGCCAGGTAGCTCAGTTGGTCAGAGCATAGTCCCGATAAGCCAAGATTGTGGGTCCCATCTCCAATCAGGGCACATATAAGAATCAGCCAATGAATGCATCAGTAAGTCAATAAGTGGAACAAGTTGATATCTCTCTCTCTCTCTCTCTCTCTCTCTCTCTCTCTCTCAATTAATTTAAAAAAATAGAAACCAATAGCAACATGGCAGACATAATAATAATATTAGATGTAAAATAACTAAAGATGCCAATTAAAAGGCAGAATTGTCAGACTAGATTTAAAACAAAAGCTAATCCTAACTATATGCTGTCTACAAGACAGTCACTTTTAATTTAAAGACAAATATAGGCTAAAATTTTGAAAACTGAGAAAAAGATACACCGTGCAAACAACAAGCAAAAGAAAGTTGATGTGGCTATATTAATATCAAGCAAGACATATTTCAAAGTAACTATTACCAGAGATATAAAGAGATATTTCATAATGAGAAATATCGCTTCCTCAGGAAAAAATAATAACCCTTAATGAGTCTATATCTAACACAGAGTTTCTAAGTGAATGATGAAAAAACCCGTATAATTAAAGGGAAAAATAGACAATTTTCACAATCATACTTGGAGATTCAATGCCTCCCCTTAGTGACTGATAGAACAAATAGCAAAAAGTCAATAAGGGCAGAGATGAGATGATCACAAGCATGATGACCTAATTGATATACCCAGAACACGATGCCCCAAAACAGAATAGACATTCTTTTCAAGTACAAACAGAATGTTCACCAAGACAGAGCAAAGGCTCCAAAAATTTCAAAAGACTGAAATGTTAAAGAGTCTATTCTCTAATTATAATTAAATTAAATAAGAAATCAATAAGAAGACCCCCCCCAGATATATGAAAATGAATTAACATGCTCAATAATCCATGGCTCAAAAAATAAATCAGAGGTAAATTAGAAAATATTTTGAATATATAATAATGAAAGCACAGCATGCCAAAATTTGAAAAATGAAGAAATAACAGAAATCAATGAAACAGAAAATAAAACCGAATGTTGGTTCTGTGAGAAGACTAATAAGAAAATATTTCCCAAGTCATTTTATGAGGCCAATATAATCATGATACCAAAAGCTAACAAAGACATTATTATTATTATGAGTAAAGTACTGACAGATATTCACTGTAGAACATATACACAAAAATCCTTAAAATGTCAGCAAAAGGAATCAAGCAAATATAAGGGATAACATATCACTATTGGGAAGTATTTATCACAGGAATGCAAGACAAATTCAACGTTCAAAAATCAGTGGAATTCAACATGTTAAGACAAAGAGAAAAACCCAGATGGGCATGAACTAGTAGAACAGCGGTTACCTGGGAGGAAATCCTGATTTATACTCTTTCTGAAAGCTGCTGGAACTTCATGACAGTGATTGGCAAATGAAACCCTAACTTACCTGGATCAGGAGAATGGTTATTCTGGGGACAACCAGGGAGGGATGGGGCGACCGGAGCGGCTCCTCTGGAAACTGCGATTTGGGATACATCCTGTTGACTTTCCCACCGGGCCTATAGGAGAAAATTGGTAATTTTGATTCAAATCAATCATTTAACAACAACAACAATAATAAAAATCTAAAGATATTTAAGAAAAAACTGTTATACATTACTAAAGCTTTAGTCCCTGGACAGGACATGTCCAGTTTGATGACGTACTTTTCTTCTTTAGAACAGCGGTCGCCAACCGGTGGTCCACGGACCACTGGTGGTCCATGAGGTCTGAAAGATTGGCGACCACTGCTTTAGAGCATTCATTTCTCAAGTAGTAGTGATACCTCACATTTGGATCTCCCTCCAGTTTAGCACTTAGAGTCTCCTCAGTTCCATCCTCACATTCTTCCTACTACAGGATGCAGCTTCCCGCAAAATATGGATATACTAACACCTTCCTTCTGAAAGACTCCCTGTGTTCTGCTTCCTGACTTCCCCGAGATGCCCTTTCCCACGGCAGACTCCCGACTGACTCAGGAACAACTTTAGTGGAGGCAGGTGTCTCTCCTCTCCTCTCCAGGGGTGCATCTTTCCATCCATTCACATATCATCATGAAAGTAGAAATTCTACAACCGTGTACTACCATGCTTCTCATTTTAAATAGACATTAAAGATAAGTTCCAGTTAAACCCAAATCAAGCAATCACACGTTCCAATAATGGAAGTCTCTGGATTAACAAGTTTTATTGTACTCTCAACTTATTTTATAAATTCCCATTAAAGAGATGTCCTGGCATAATACCCGAACAACGCCAGCCAGGCGGTGGACTAATTTACCATGCGACAGCTTATGGTGAGCCATAAAAATGGTGATACCATCAGAGCACTTTTAACATCAGTCCCACCTAGGACAGAAAGAAACTCCAACCAAACATTACAAGGACAAAAACCAGTAATTGAGATGAGATGCAAATCTCTTAAATGCTTCAAGTTCCCTTTGATCCTGTAATAATCACTAGAGTTAAATAATGGTATTTTATATTCATTCAGGCTAGTATTTCACAGATGCGTGACCCTGGCGATCCACTTGAGTTCTCATTAGTAATCACCTGCAAAGCGAGGTCTTCACTGAGCCTGAAGATGGATGGAGGTGGAAAGACCTCTTAGGTTTCAGATATGTATTGGAAACCTATCTGCTTTTAGCGGCAACCTGAGTACTGATCATAAAATCAATAAGCCCTAAGTGATCTGGATCCTCTTTACCTGAGAGAACACTCTTCCCTAGGAACTCTCTCAGCACTTGATATTTAAAATAATGGCATGATGTTTAGCGTTAGGAAGCAAGAAAACAAAAACAGACATGAGAGACGATTCGGGAAACCGTGAATCTGAAATACTTCATGGCAGGAGCGAATGAATCACACACTGACTTAAGACTTGCCTGTTTCATTAATGTTCTTTGCATTGAAATGTAATTATCTCTCCTGCCCGGGCTGCTGCAGCTCTGTGTTCTGGGACTTCACAATCAGGGGGCCGGACACGAGGGCCGACGCCCTCAGAGCTCCGCAGAGAGAAGAAGCCTCCTGCTGTTCACAATGCGAAGCTCATGCAGGGTTGTTTTGAAGACAACTTACTTAATTTGAGAATAAATTTATTTTCAGGTTTTCTATTTTTCTGCCTTGTTTGGCAGCTGACAGAGTGGCACTCTGTCCCTTAGGAAAACTAAGGACCTGATTTGGAGTCAGCACCTCGGCTGCTCGGTGCATAATGGTCCAATGACAAATAACGCAGGTGTCACCTCTTCCCCAAGGCGCTCGCGGGGCTCTCCAGCTCCCCGAGTAATTTCTCCCCGTTGGCACTCCCACACACAATGTTACTACCAAGTCAGAATGAAAGCAATAACTCTTACTGTCTCATATATTCAAATATCTCAAGTGAGAACATTTGAAAGGATGCATGCGGTACCTTAATTAATACCGCCTTAGCCATACTGCTGGCCTATCGGATAATGAAAAACGGAGACACATTTCCCTTCATCCATCTACCTTCACCGTCATCGTAACCTTGAGGAATCGTGAATGCTAACTGTTCCCAAGTCTCGCCGACCAGACACAAGGACACAGAGCATCTCAAATCACTCTGGGCTGGAAGGAGCCCTGCTTGGGAGGGAACAACAAATGTGGATGATAAACTGGGAACAACACTCCTTCATCCTCTCCGACACCCGCAGACCTCTGGGGAAACACTCACCACCACCACTCACTACACCCCTATCTCCTGCAGTACGTGCCCCGTTCTCCTGCCAGAAATGAAACCTGTGGTTCAGGGTCTAGCTATACACACTGCCCCCCCGAGGACAAGGACTTGTGTCTTTCCAATAAAATGTATATGCCTGGCTGTTCTATGGTTATTCTCCCTTTACTGAAATGTCGGGGGTGGGAGGAAGCATCCCTGTTAAAGGTACTTTAGAGGGAGATGAACTCGGGACAACGAATAAAAGGCACTTGGCCACACAAGTTCTGCTCTCTTATGAGCTCAGTTCTCAAAGTCCAAGAATATGGTGGGTTTTTTGTTTTGTTTTAACTTCAATCACAGTAATCTATACCCTTAAATCTAAAAAGATAAGTCTGATCCGTTTTCAACTTTCTGCCTGCCTGTCTATTGAACTTCAATCAGCCCAGATGAGGAGGCGCAAGAGAAAACTCCGGCTTCCTTTTGGATCCCTACACCAGCTTCATATGTATTAGGGATTATTTGTGCTCCCAGGCTGAAATCAAGGAAATAAAACCCTATTCGAGACAGCCATTTCTGTAGCTAGCACCACGTTTACAGGCAAACTGAGCAGGCAAACACAGGAGCCTCTCAGCTGACTTGGAATGTGGTTTGGTCCCCTGTCCACCTCTGTTTTTCCACTACGGCTCTTCGGACAGACATGGAACCTTTGGGTTTTCTGTAAAGAGGTTTGGTTTTCCATCAGGAAAGTGACAAAGAGGTATATAAAGTGATATTCCAGATTCTAAGGTGGCTTCTAATGCAACTAACAAAGCATCATTGGCATCAGCCTTAACTAACTAACTAACTAACTCAGGGCAGTTTTCAGGAAGGTAATGTGGCCAAAACACACAACTCAGTTTTGTTAACCAAATACTCATTTAAGCTGTGCATCAAAAACTCTAAACACTATCTTGCAAACTTATTAAAAATATAATTCCATCTCAAATGGCTTTAGAAATACCACCCAATACCACCCCACCACCAGGCTGTCTGCCTGCTCTCTATTTATGAGTCTGTCTCTATTTTACTTGGTAGTACTTTTTTTTCATTAAATTCCACATATGAGTGAAATCATATGGTACTTGTCTTTCTCTGATTGGCTTATTTCACTTAGCATAATGTTCTCCAGGTCCATCCATGCTGCCAAAAAGGGTAAAATTTTCTTCCTTTTTGCAGCAGAGTAGTATTCCATTGTGTTTTCAGATGAAAAAACAATCTGCTGAAATTAATTCTGCACCTAATATGAGCCCATCTTGGTAGACTGGTCATGCAAAGTTTGCTAAGTTTTCATCTGATCTAAAAAAAAAATTGCCTTAACAATCATGATGAAATATCCAGTAATGATAAATAGCAACATCACTGCAATTAGGGGTATTTTATATTTTTTAAGTGAAAAGCTTATTGAGAGTGATTTATTTTAGGCCCTAAGGTGAATTTAAAAGTTGGGAATAGTTCATAAAATTCAATTTTGATGGAGTTCAGTAAAACTATTGCAATTTTAATATGTAACAAGCATCAATAAATAAGGAAATGTGAAATATGACTGGCTGGATTCAAAGGGTATAGTATAGGCCAAACTAGATGGTTTTAGTACCCCGACCACTCCCTCTCCCCTCCCTGCCGCACCTTTTAGTGTCGCTCTGCTCCCAAATGATTAATCTTTGCCATGACATTAACTGAAAATTAGGAAAGAATGGAGTCCTGAATCTACGTTGTGGCCATTCCCTGATTCCAATCGTTACTGCGGCTAACCTGAGCGTTCCAATGTCACACAGGGGAGGACACAGCACATCAAATTCTTCTGTACAAGTCTGGTTTCATAATCAAGCTCAGAGGGACAGATACATAGATTAATGTAAACAACCCAGAAAAAGCCATGCAAGTTGGCAAGGTAGGTGTAACTAATATAATCATAATCTTCAATCATTTCAAAACAAATTTTCTAGAATTTTAAGCATCATCAAGTCCATGATAAAATTATATTTCTGACTCAATTCTCTTGAACATTAAACACTTCTGTGCAAAGAAACCAAGATGGTCCAGCTGAGCTAAGTTCAGTGTTGTCAAAGGAATGCTCAAAGGACTTGCACCATTTTTTCACTCCTCTCCCCTGTCCCATGCTTCAGAAAAGAACATCTTACAAGTTCCCAAATATTTATTTGTACTATTTGCTTAATACAAATTAACTCCAACTCCTCCCATCCCAGAGCCTTCTAAATTCAGTAAGATGCCTTAGTTCCTAGTCTTTTCTGACAAGTACTTTTACAATGTTAGGCCCAGTTAACGAGGAACATTTGAAAGGAATCATACATACTGACAACCAAAGTTATTTTTACAAAAGGGTGAGCCCAAAAAAATTAGCACAGAGTCAAATTTAGTCATCTTATAAAAACTACATTTAAAAATTCAGTCCTGCCCTAACTGGTTTGGCTCAGTGGATAGAGCATCGGCCTGCGGACTCAAGGGTCCCAGGTTCGATTCCGGTCAAGGGCATGTACCTTGGTTGTGGGCACATCCCCAGTGGGGAGTGTGCAGGAGGCAGCTGATCGATGTTTCTCTCTCATCGATGTTTCTAACTCTCTATCCCTCTCCCTTCCTTTCTGTAAAAAAAAAATCAATAAAATAAAAAATTCAGTCCTAATCCCAAGGCAAAAGCAAGAGTAGTAAGTTTTAGGTAGTAGGATAGTACTTGTATCCCACTCATTAGGCAAACCTAATGGATTAATTACCTCTCCCTGGATCTCTGAAAACTGAAGAATACAGGAAGTCCCCAAAAGAAAAGAAAAAAACAACGTGAGTCTCTGAGATTTCCCAAAACAATTTCTTCAGTCATCTTTCCTTTAGGGTTTTGTGCGCAAATTGTTAGGGATAAACTAAGTGGACACCCTCTCAACCCAATACATACAAGAGAACAAAAACTTCCAGCAATTTAAAAGGTAGAGAATAAAATTTTTACATTTTAATTTATTTAATTTGTAAAGAGGTAATTTGTTCACATGCTCCAAAACCAAATAATATAAAAAGGCATTCATACAATTCAAAGTGAGAAGCTGCCTACCTCCCTCCCCGTGCCTGCTCAGTTCCCCACATATTTCCACCCTCTCTCTCCCAGGCAGATAAGAAATGGTATTAGTTTCTCATATATCCTCATACAATTTCTTATGTCTGTATAAGCAAATCTATAAATTGCCACACACTTCCCTCTTGTCCCCTCCTTCAATAATACAAATGGCAGCCTACTATACATCCTGCACTTCATTTTAATTACTTAGTATATCCTGGTGATATACTAAGTTTATACACTAAATTTCCATATTAGTACCTGGAGGGGTTCCTTATTGTTTTTACAGCTGCACAGCATCCCACTTATTTATTGCACATGTATGTGCACACCCAGGTGCATATAAAATGTATGTAATCAGATTAAACAAACGGACATTTAGTTTGTTTCTAATCTTCTGCCATTAAGACAATGGACTCCCTTGTACTCAGGTAATTTCATATGCATATAAGCACTGTTGCTGTGTAAAGGGATTTAATAGGGTTTAGATCATTTGTATGTTAATTAGTTTAAACACTACTCAATTCTGAGGAACTATATTATGGGTAGCATTAATAACAAACTTTGAATTCCAGGCAATGCCATATTTGAAGATGTTTTTTCATTGTTTCATTTAAAAGGCCACAGGGTGAACTCTGTTCCATGCTGCTAACGCTGGGGCAGTAGGGAGGGGGTCAAGGGGGTTCTTTTCTCACTAGTAAGAAAATATAATTTTAAAAGTATTTATTTTCCCTAAAAATCTGTTAATATGCTCTGCTTTGGATGATAAAACTACTGCGGGGCCCTCGTCTGAAAGTAGGGGGGCCACCCTGTACTCCCTACTGAAGTGAGCCCGAAATCAAACTCTGTTGCTTAGTGTTCTTTCCACTTTGTTTTCGAGCATCACAGTTATAATCCTCTATCATGAATTTCCTTATTTCTGAAACAGGTCCCTCCATAAAAAATCTGTCTTAGAACACTTTTCCTCTACCTTTCCCCTAGGGAAAAGCAAAGGTCTCTACTTTTTATATGTGAACATCCTTTTAACCTGCAGATCTGGAGACAAGCACGGGACAGTAGCAGATGTTGATCGAAGCCCAGTTATGCCTGGTACCCTTTCAGGGCTCGTTCCACGGCTGCACTGGGAACAAAGTTAGCAATGGCCAGCTGGCCCCTCCGCTCTCCCTGACAACACCTCCAATGTTTGTCAGAGGGTGGGACTGCCATGGCTGAGGAAGACTGCAAACTGGGGAGAAAGGTATTTAAATTTTTGAAGTGTACGCCAACTGAAAATATATATTGCAACGGAGTGGAGGCATCCATATCCCTGTTGCTGGGACAGCACATTGACATGGGAAAAATCTGAGAGGGTGGAAATCAGGCTTTCCACAATTTTGTTAAGTTACCCAGACACCCCAAGAAGTCAAGATGACTCAAACAAGGAAAGTCCTGGAAGAGTAACCAAAGTGTGTAAGGTTATAATTATTCATTTAAATGACACGTCCAGCTAACTTCTACCCAGCCCTTCATAGAAGCTGCCCTGGGAAAGGTCTCCAATACACTCTTCGTTGTCACATCCACAATAGTCTTTAAGTTCTTACTTTATGTCTCTAAAGAATCTGGAACCCTTTCTCCTCCAGTTTCCAAGCCACTTTGCCTCCCAGGCCTTCCTCCCTCTCTGAGGACTCCTCTCCTCGCTCTGGCCAGCTCCTGTTCCTGCACTTGCCCTCCGAGCTTAGCCTTGGTGATAAACCCCTCCCACTAGTTCAACCCCTAAGGTTTAAGATATCAACACAGAGCATGTTATCCACATTTGAGAGTGTCCCTCCCACTAGTTCAACCCCTAAGGATATCAACACAGAGCATGTTATCCACATTTGAGAGTGCTAACATCTAACCAGGGTCCTCAAAAAATATCACACACAAAATTGTAATATGTGACATCTTCAAGAGATCCCTTTAAGTTAATAACAATGAGATATCTATGCTTAAAACTTGTTCAATTGGGGAAAGCTATATTAACAAGTAAATAAATTCTAGATAACAAAATTTCTGTTCCCTCATTTTTCTTTCTTCTAACAAAAAAACTAACTTTTAGGTATCATCTTCATATTTCTTATACATTTTCAATCATTCTATCAATATTTTACTATTAAAAATCTGATTTGAAGTTCCTTTTCTGACACAAACAAGAAGAGTATGAACTTAATAACCAATTTGTTTTTGAACCCAAAAAAATTAGAGTAACAAGAAGGCCTATTAAATCATATTCTATCAGATAAAAAGAAATGAACTCTAAACACATTCCAATAAATTCCACATGCATAGAAGAGTAGAAGAGATTTGGGCCTGCAAAACTAGTGTGTGGTCATTGAGAGGAGAGCCGGATGAGAAACAGGTCTCTGAGACTGACAGAAAATAGTTATTAACACGTACCTTGTTGCTGCCTAGACTGTAAGAAGGAATGAGATCTTGTCGGCTGCCAGACAACTGAAGAAGAAATAAAGAGGAAGATTAGTCCTTTATGTGTAAAAGTACATAAATCTATGGCCCTGGAAATACAAGATTTTGAAAACTGAGTCAACAGACTGTTCCAATTGGGTAGTAGCAGACAGGCAGCCAAGGCCACAGCTGCAAATGTAGACTAGTGGCCTTTGGGATGAGAGGCACATTTTTTAAAATCAAATTGGTTAGCCACAATTTTAAGAAGGGAGGTTTGTATAAGATCAGATATCCAGTTTATGCTAAGGAAACAACCAACTGGGCCTGAATAAGAAATACTTCTATTGTTTATCCCCTTCCATTTAAAAGATACCAGGTTACTGGTTATCTTATGTATCTGATCTTATGACTCCTTTTTCTGGGTATTCATAGCAAATGTATATACACAAGCTATTTTAAATCATAGGATTCTAAATAATAAATCTCAACATGTATCAGTACATTTAAACGTATCATTTTCTGAAGGAATGAGAGATATGAATGCTGAATTAAAGTGATACTTCTTAACCTCGGAGAATGTTCCCAACCATTCGGTCTGAGAGCACCGAGCGATGTCTTTCAGTCACTGCAG